GAGCTAAAGGAGTATCGTTTGTAACCTTTGAATTGAGCGGTTCCACGAACAAGTGGGAAATTTTTCCAGTTTTTATTTTTTGTATTTTTTGATTTGCATGAAACCTTGCATACAAGTTTTTGGGGAAGAAAAACGCCGTTTTGCATACTTGGTTCGCCATTTTGAATCTAGCCTTACTTATGAGAAGGGCCTATGAAAAATGCACATGATATCTTCAAAAAATTGTATCTCGGAAACGGTTTGTCCGATTGGTTTGGTGTCTTGGGCGAAGTTTTAGACAATTGTTGGTGTTATATGGAGAAAATATGCACGGTAAAAAAAAGTTTGATATTTGTGTTTTGAACTAAAATATAAATTTTCCCTTTAAAGTGACATGTCAATATTTTTTTATTATCCTTATGTTATAGCTGACTGAAAATGCTATCTAGTGCACAGTAGGTTGTTCTGGAGAAAAATAGGTTACAATGAAAAAAATTGTTTTTTAAAAAAATACAATTTTCAAAAAAGCTATTAAGAAAAGTCAAAAAAATTTGTCACCCTAATTTTATGAAAGTAAATCAAATTTGCAAACAAAAAGTACTTCGGTAACATTTTTCTAAGATGCACCGTTTAGAAGATATTACTGATTTAATATTGTTTTTTTTTTTGATAACTTTGGCTCTTTTTGGATGTACTCCGTGTTTTTCCAGTTTCAAAAGTATTTTTTTCGGAAAGATTGGAAAATTTTGAGTTAAAATGACACTGACAGCTTAAAGATTCGAGTAAAATTCTCTGCCTTAAAAGTATTTTGAAAAACAAGTTACAAAATCCCACTATCAGGAACAATGATTTCTTCAAATGATTTTTGGTGCGTTGTGCTGAAAACGTGCTAACAAGTATTAGATACAGGTAATCAGATACCAGTTAGCTGTACTACGTACAGTTGGTGATTGTAAACATGGTCTTTGTTGGAACTAGTCCACCATGGCAACGCTGGCCATAACGAGGCTAGCTCCGTCGTTGACCGTTCCTTAATAATAAATAAAAAGAACGCAGTAGTCACCTTCCATCAAACTAGAGGGCTGCCGACTGATACCTCAATCAACAACCGCCGCACTCTTTATTCATTCCAGGTATATACAATTTACAATCTTCTTCAATAACAATATACCTACGCCAGCATATCTACCTCGCTCCAACTCTCCAAACTCGTACCTGAAGGTTCGACGATACCTGAGCGTTCAACTCTACCTATCTTCCAACAGTCTTTACCCAGCATTCTATGATTTCTACCCGTGAGCTGTATAATAATGTCTGACTCGGTTCTGAATTCATCCAGTATCTACTAGGGAAAACCAAACAGTAAATGCAGAAAGGTTGCTAGTAGCATAGTGATTATAGTAATTTCAGCTCATAATCCTGTGTTTTTGAACGAGATCCAGTGTTGTTTGATAACATAATAATTGTAAAGGAAAGTGTAACACGTTTTGGTACAAAGGTAAACATTTTAATTATATGTTTTGTGATATTTTCGTACAAAACTAACAATTGGAAAATATTGTCTATGTTACAGATTACAAAATGAGTAAAATAAGATGTATTCGCCCATTCAAAGACATTCAGTGTTCGAAAGAGCTGCGATATCTCACGGATGGTATCATCCAAAAACTAAAATCAATTGGATTTTCCAAGGTATCCACACTGAACACCAAGGATTTTCGTGTTTGTTCGTCTTGCCGTCTACATATTGATTCAAGAGCTCACCTCACCCAAAACGAGGAACAAAGCGTAGCCGGCGGCTCAAGGATGCCAACTGTTCAGACCATACCTGATTTACCTGATTCGCAAAGCTATGAAAGTTTGGTCACGATACCATCAGAGTCAACGCTAAGCACAATTAAATCAAATGAAGACTTCACGATGCCACGATAAAACGCATGGCTACCAGAGCAAGTTTAGCCAAAGAACGCGAACACCCGATAAAGACTGCAAGAGAGTTGTTTAATTGGGTAAACAAACGAAAAGAAGAAGAACTTACAAAGTTGTCATTTTGTTATTCTACTACAGAAGAATACGAAAATATGTCTTTGTAACTAAATAATCAATATAATAATGCAAAAACAATTCAAGGGACTCTAAAATTCCACTCATTTCTTCCTCTATCAGAAAATACAATAAAGGCAAATCTTTATTCAAACTGTCCTGACAATGATGCCAAAATATTCAATATTGTTAAGAAAGTTGTGTAAGGATAATAAAAAAATTATTGACATGTCACTTTAAAGGGAAAATTTATATTTTAGTTCAAAACACAAATACCAAACTTTTTTTTTACCGTGCATATTTTCTCCATATAACACCAACAATTGTCTAAAACTTCGCCCAAGACACCAAACCAATCGGACAAACCGTTTCCGAGATACAATTTTTTGAAGATATCATGTGCATTTTTCATAGGCCCTTCTCATAAGTAAGGCTAGATTCAAAATGGCGAACCAAGTATGCAAAACGGCGTTTTTCTTCCCCAAAAACTTGTATGCAAGGTTTCATGCAAATCAAAAAAGATGAAAATTACTCGTTGCTTTAATGATATGGAACCGCTCGAATTTAAAAAAAAAGAATAACATTGTATCATCTTTAGTTATTTATGTATAGTATAAATTCTGAGTAATAATGAACATAATAAAACACCTTTACATTATGAGATTCTATTTAATAATACCGGCCTAGATTTGATGAAACATTATTAAAAACAAATTAATGCATTTACATTTGAAATGCAAATTTTTTTGAAAATGAACCAGAGACGAATTTTGTTATTCTAAATGTTGTAGTTAATTTGGCTCTAGTTTTCTCAATTTTTTACCGATTCAAACCAAACACCCTGCACATAATCGAGAAATTACCAAAGTTTTATAAGTCACGCTTGTGTATCTACACGGATATTCCTTGGGTTCTGCCCAATGGTGAGACATTTTCATGATATTTTTTATTTCTAATATGAACCTAGCACTTTTCGTTGTCAAATCATAACCGAATTGTATAAATGTGACTTTGTGGATCATGCACGACTCATTACTGTGTATACAGGAAATTATAGGTTTTCCAAATCGTCCAGGACATCAGTTGATTTGTTGTACTAGATCAACCAAGACTGCAATAATGTCTGTAGTATCGAAATATGTCCAATCAGATTCAAAATGTCTATGTGGATCATGCATGATCTGTATGTGGATCATGCATGATCTATTTCCGAGTAAATCAGATGTTCAAGGTTCTTCAAATCGTCCTGGAGTTCAGATAATTTGATCTACTAGATCAACCGAGATTGGGACAATGTATTTAGTATCGAAATATTTCCAGACAGATGCACAGTGTCTATGTGGATCATGCATGAACTATTGTCATGTATACCAGATGTTTTAAGTACTCCAAATCGTTCTGGGCCTCATAGTCTGGTCAGTAAAGGCACGGTATTACTAAGCCGGAGCCGACGGGTTTGATTCCTGGTCCGGTCGAGGGAAACTTTCGGGCTGGAAATTTTCTCAACTTCCCTGGTAATAGAGTATAATTGTGTTTGCCACACAATATACAAATTTATGCATTGGTATTGGCATCAAAAGCTCTCAATTAATAACTTTGAGATTGCATTTAGAACACTAAGTTATATGCACTAATCAATAAGTTTGAAATGCGAATAAGAAGAAGAAGAAATCGTTCTGGAGTTCAGATGATTTATTCAACTAGATCAACCATGACTGGGATGAAGTCTGTAGCATCAAAATGTGTCCAAACAGATTCATAGTGTCTATATGGATAATGTTTAATTATTTCCACGTATACCAGATATCTAGGTTCTCCAAATCGTCCTGCAGTTCAGATGATTTGTTTTACTAGATCAACAAAGACTAGGATAATATCTGTAGTATCGAATATCGATTAGGAAATCCTAAAACATTCGGCATGATCCACATAGACACTGCAAATTTGTTTGGGCATATTTCGATACTATAGATATTGAATTAGTCTTGGGTGATCTAGTAGAAAAATAACCTGATCTACAGAATGATTTCAGAACCTATAACATCTTGTATACGTAGATCGAATAGCTTGAGTACAATCCACATAGACACTTTGAATCTGTTTGGACATATTTCGATACTACAGACATTATTGCAGTCTTGGTTGATATAGTAGAACAAATCAACTGAACCCCAGGACGATTTGGAGAACCTAGAATATCAGGTATACATGGCAATTACTCGCTTATATACGATTCGTTTATGATTTGACAACGATTAGCATGTTTTTTTTTAGAAGATGGCCATTCGCATGCCTTTTGCCGATCATTCTCCATTTTTAACTTAAGGCTACGATTTTCCTCCCTTTAGTATCGTTTGAGTGTTTTTGCAGCGGTACTAACCCTCTCGCTACTGTGTGTGCCTTCTGGCTTTGTTCTTAAAATACGTGAATTTTCCAAACAACAACAACTCATACAGATGGAGGCGAACCAACCCAAGGCTGAAAGCCTCCCTAATAAAGATAAATAATAATAATAACTCATACAGACGAAAATCCACGGATTGTAACCAAACTAAAGCAAAGCAAAGCAGGGAATTTTAAAACATCTAGAAGACATTTAATTACGACAGACGTATCCAGTATTTGATTGACATAAAATTATACGTAACAAACCCACTCAATAACTCTGCGCCTCCGTTCGACTCTCAACATGAAAACAACTTGCAAGCATTTGTTTCAACCGATTTTCCGTCTGCTCACATTTATAAATATAATTAGAAACAATGGTAATCTCTTGCATCGATCGTAACAATGTTTCACTCCACAAACCCGTAATAATCGATTTTCAATCTCGATGTGGTACGAGGGAAAAGTGCCTCACTTTTGTACAGCCACCATGAAGTACCTACACATAATCCCGCACGCAAATACAGATATGAAAACGCATATAAAACTGCGAAAAAAAAAAACCGATAAAATGCCAACTTTAAATTACTTACCATTGCACTGAGTCACGGCGAACGACGTGCTCAGCAGTAGAGTTGGGATCAGCATCATCCACAGGCATCTCCCCATCGTCGTCCTGGCGGGTCCTGGGAATGACACAGCATTGCAGCCCCGCCATGAACTCGATGACGACACCGGGATGCTGCTGTTGCTGTTGCAGTTCGGTATCCTTTGTCTGGCCGACCCCTCCGGCGATGACTGTGATGGCAGCTCCGGATTCATGGGATGCTTGCTATTTTTCGAGGATTGCTAGCAGAGTTTTTATTCGCACTTCTCTTTTTCAACCGAGAGATAACTGATTACTTTCCGACACTAACCACACAAACTCGCGCGCTCTTACACACCGCCGTCGTCGTAATCGTCGGTCGGCAGAATAATTTTCTTCCGTTTCTAACGTTTTTATGATTTTCCACCGGGACGGAAACGCGGACACACGGAGGCACAATTAGTCACATTACAAATGGGATTTACGCTCGACGTAGTCGGGAAAGCCGTCAGACACACAAAAGACTGAAACACGGTGCCACTCGAGAGAGACTTGGCCAATTCTATTCAATTTAAAAACCAGTCAAATTGAAAGATGAACTCCTCGTGGTCTGCTAACAACTGGCAAGAGAATCTACTGCCATGCCGCACGACGTCGTCCTGTGGGTTTAATGACTGAAGGCATCTGAAAATGGAGATAAGAAAGATGAAATCTCATTACTCGAGAGCGCATCAGCCAGACTATTGTAGGTTCTCCCCTCCCTTCATGGGGAGATGAAGTGGGTGAGAATGATATGGAATTATTTGAACAGTGATTTGTGAAGCTAATAAAACACTTGATCGATGCTGTGCTGCGTTGTCTGTCGCTTACTCGGTGGATTAGTTTTAAGTGCCAAGGAAGTGTGTTAGTTGTCGGGGGACCGACTGCTGACCACTGCTGGATGCAGCAACAGGTCCCTCCAGGTAATTGAGTTATCATTCTCCGTACATTCTATTCCCAGGGTGAGGTGGACTGCGAGTAAAGTAGTTTTCGCAGAACATCATAATAGTATGGTTCGATGGAATCGAATTCGGTGGTTACTGGTTAGTTATGGGTTATGGTTATCTTTATTATATTATTCATCTCTTGGTAACTGGTTAGCGCTGTCAACGGAGGAGTTGCTTTTCTGTGAATCATGCAACTATGAGGAAGCAATAGGGGCATACATATTAAGCAAACTCAAAATATAAATTTTTCAGTTCATAGCATAAATTGAGGTCATTTGGTTGCACGCTAAAAATTTACCGGAATTGCTTCCAAAATGTCTTAAAATCCTTCTGAAATTTATCCAGAATCCTTTTAGGAAATCGTGCATCAGCCGATTTTGGTATTAAATGTCAGAAAGCAATTCAGTACATAAACAAAAGGATCTTCAATGTAAATATCAATTGCCCCAACCGCTATCGAAACGTACCTTTTCCGATTTCGGTGAAATATGATGTCATGTATCCGCACAACCTACGTCACACCAAACTGTTGATTTCGTGCATTAAATTACGCAATTTGGGTTTACTTTATGAGCCATCTGGAGGAAATGACGGGTTCAGCACTTCTTTACCTATCGTCAGAGGGTAAATTAAATCCAAGGCATCGTTTCGCAAAGAATGAACACTCTAAGACTTCATTCAACACCCTGACGCAGGGTGTCCATTCAAATCCAATTTTTCAATTCCCGGTTTTTTCCCGGTTATTCGAAAAAAAAAAACATCCTTGCCTTAAACAAAAAAGGGGTTCAAAAAATAACAAAAATAACCCATATTTTTTCAGCAGAATTGCTTTACAATACGTCTACTTTGTAGACAAAATATGACATGAGAATAACATTAACATATCTAGATCTCCAAAATCATGAATTCGTATAAAATCAAAGAGTCTCCTGCAAAAAGTGAGACTAAATGTTATTGTGATGTGTCGGAAAAAGAATATATCAATACAAGGGACCTGAGCAGGAGAATCGCAGTATTTGAAGTTCTTCACATCATCCTAGAGTTTAGATCTTGAAGTTCTATAAGCCAAACAACATGTTGTGGGTTGACTAGCGAAGGAGCACGTTCAACGAGAGCAGCAACTTTTCCTGGAGATTGAGAAACGAGTTTACAAGAATTGGAAGCAGATGTTCGCGGATTAGTAGTGGAAGTTTGGTATATGGAATCGGTATTGTGAATGGAAGAAGTCTCGATGAACATTTCAAATGGTCCTATCTGCTTTGATCGATTCTCTTCATCGACTTTCTCTTTCGTCAATAACTCAGCTGCAAAACCTTTCCCTCTTGTATTTGACGTTTTGGACGCTAGAAAAGAACCTCCTTTATCAAACTAGATGGTAGAATTAGCGCGAAATCTGTTTGCATAGCAGTGGTTATGAAAAGAGAAAGTCGATGAAGAGAATCGATCAAAGCAGATAGGACCATTTGAAATGTTCATCGAGAAGTGTATAGGATTCAGAAAGAAGAATGGTGAAAGTGGGCGGTCTGCATCACATTACATTATGTTTAGAGAAGAACAGGATCCGACTCAAAATTTGGTGAGATCCATCCATTTAGTAAAAATTAAATTTATTCCCGTATATAACATAAACTGCATTTAAAAATGCAACAATTTTCAAAAACTGTATGCTGGCTGTGCCGCGGGTATTGTGGGTTTCTCAGGTAACTGGTTCAAGCTTCAGTTGGCTGAGATGGCTCTACTTTTCCTTCTACCCTTGAATAGATAGTGCGAATAAGGGCGTCTATGTTTTGCTGTACCTGTTGTGGGCATTAATACATCCTTTTTCTTAAACGTGTTGAAGAATCCTTGCCTTGCCTCAAAAGTTATCCTGATCTTCACAACATAAAGGGCACCATTACGGAGCATTAGGTTTGATCAAATTATTCACAGTGCTTTTTGTCCAACGGTCCCAGCTGGGTGAAAGGTAGAGGATGACACACACATATTTTCCAAATTGTCCTGGAGATACTTTACATGTTAATCGCAATATTATTAGACTTCCACTCGGAAATTTTGAGCATTTTGTGCTTCACGGACTCATAACATAATTTAAAATTAATAATTGTGTTTATAAATAATTTTTGGATTATCCAAATCATCCCGGATATCTGTTCTTGAAGTTCTGCAGACTCAACAAGGTATTCGACTTAATGATAGAATGGGTAAACCTTCGTGAACCCCATAATATCATTGGTTTGGATTATTAGGTTTTCCAAAACACCTGGAGATCAGATCTTCATTTGTTGTATAATCACTTTAACACTTTTGGATCATTCGTGTCATATCCCGGTTAGATTTGAGCTCATGATTTTGGCGTGAGAGGTATGAATTCCGATCTTTATGTTTTACAGACTAACCAAGGTATTCTACGATGACTTGAATAATCTTGTGTGCCATAATTAATTAATTTATTTTTAATTTATCTCTGGACCAAGCATCTCATGATTTTTTATAGTTCGTTGATTGTGTCCGGTGTCGAACATTTGCATGCCAAGCATAATCGGGCATGCAAGGAGTTTGAGATCGTACATTTTTGACGTAGAACTACGTCTTTGTCGACTATACTGGGGTGCAAATCAAAAAATATGTGTGGTGAAGGAGTGTTAGGTTTTGAACGCTTGTAACTTTGTCATTTATAGATGAAATTTAAATCCAAATACGCCAATCGATAGGATATTACATTACGAACCTGCTGAAATAAATATATTTTTTTCCATTTTTCTGTAATTAAACTTTTGAAAATGTACAAATGATAATGTTATCACTGTTTGCATGAAATAGCCCTTTTTCCCAAACCCAGTCATCATAAACGAATACCACTTGGTTGCATATCATTCTGCTTAAACCTGAAAAGATATAAATCAGCGCTGCTCTCCTGCCTCTGCTCATTACCGCTTCGGACGGCGTGGCACTAGGATCCTGTAGCAAGCAGGACCAAGTCAGCTGCCAAAGGTGGATCACGGCGTGTCCACCACAATGAGTAATGAGACTTGAAAAAACGTGCATGTAAAACCCCCTCCCCCTTAACAACCTCTCCCCCTCCCCCCTTAACATAACCCGAACAAGACAAGGACTTTGACGATCATTTTTTTCCGGGAAATAAATTTTGTGCAAACCACAATTATGTATAAACAATTAATTTTTTACATGCAGAGCCAACATTTTCAAAAAAATTGCTTAACAGGAGACATGCACTCGATGAATTACCAACAACTGACTGTAAAACATATCTGGTACCCCTATATATGCAATTATATGAACATCCAAAGTCCATCCTTTTTTACATATTCTGCACAAAAGAAACTTTTTGCTCCGCCCCATTCATAAAAAACGGCGGGAAATCCTATCAGGTTAGGTTGCACATCATTCTGCTTGAACCTGAAAAGATATAAAACAGTGCTGTTGTCGTGCTTTTGCTCATGGGTCATTCTCTGCTTGAACGTCAAGCAGTACAGTTCGGTCTTTGCTCGCTCTGTCGAGTTGTTCTAAAGTTTATAGTTTGTTCCAAACATTCGCAGTTTAATCGCGTCGTCAGTAGTGTCGGTCGCTTCGTGTGATGGGAAGACAGCGCTCCCGGAGCAGGCTCCGAGAGAAAACGGAGAAGAAAAACAGCGGTGAGGGTAGCTTGAGTGTACCTATTTCGAATAGGTACGCTACTCTTCCCACCGATGTAGGGAATCCCACCTCAGCCACGGTGAAGCGGTCTAAGAAGAGGAAGAAAAATCAAGGCCAGTCCGATGGTGCGAGTGGACGGGACGATGCCACCGCGACGAACGTCAGCGTCATTGGTGATTTTGCCGACGCCGTCGACAACGAAACTGCTGCCACCCCGAGTGCAGCAAAAATGAAGCTTCCTCCACTGGTGGTGAAGCAAGTCCCACTCAACACGCTGATTGGCGATCTTTCATCGCTGGGCGTTGCAGCTGAGTTTAAGCTCGGCAGGATCGGCACCAAGGTGATGCTCCGAACAAAAGCGGAGTACGAAGTGGCCGTGAAACATCTGAAGGATACCAAGGCGGAATTCTTCACGCATGACATCCCCGGTGAGAAGCCCTTCAAGGTAGTCATCAGGGGTCTACCAAACTTCGACCCCAAGATGGTTGAAGCTGAAATCAACCGGTACAAGCTTGCCCCAATCGCTGTCTTCCGAATGACAAGGAGAGACGAAAACGTGAAGACGTACTCGGATTGTCTTTTCCTGGTGCACTTCCAGAAAGGGACAGTGACGCTCAATGCGCTACAAGCCATCCGATCAATCTGCTCCATCATCGTACGGTGGGAGCCATACCGTGGCGGCCATCGTGACGTAACGCAGTGTATGAGGTGCCTCAATTTTGGACACGGTACCCGCAACTGCAACATCAAGCCACGCTGCAGCAACTGCGCTCAAGAACACGCCACTTCCAACTGCCCTGCGGATGGAGCCGTGGCGATAAAATGCGCTAACTGTGGTGGTGCACATCAAGGTTCCGACAGACAGTGCTCCAAACGCGAGGACTTCAAACGCATCCGAAAGCAGGCGTCAAGCAACAATCATCCAGGACGCAAGAAGGACAAAACCCCATCATTCAGGACGGAGGATTTTCCGCCTCTTCGTGCTCCCCAGCAAAGGCAAGCGAATTCGCGGGTGCAACCCGCCCCCCCTCAAGAAGCTTCCGG